CCCGGGCCCATCTGACCGCCGGGTCCGCTACCGCCGTGCCCCATCTGTCCGCTTCCCGGTCCCATTTGTCCCCCGGGTCCGCCTCCAGGCGCCATCTGGCCGCCAGGTCCGCTGCCCACATTCATTTGCCCTCCCGGGCCGTTTCCCGGACCCATCTGTCCCGCAGAACCGCTTCCAGGACCCCCTGAACCCATTTGCCCTCCGCTGTTCGAGGACATTTGTCCGCCTGGTCCGATCCCTCCGCCTACTCCGGTAGGTCCATTGGGTCCACTTCCAGGACCCATAGAAACAGCAGGTCCGCTGCTTGTCGTCATCGATACATTTCCGGGGCCACTTCCCGGGCCCATTTGGCCAAGGCCATTCGGCCCTAATTGACCACCCGGACCGCCTCCAGGTCCCATTTGACTGCCTGGTGCACCTGGTCCCATTTGACTCACCGGCCCGCCTGGTCCCATTTGGTTGCCTTGCCCTCCCGGTCCCATTTGATTGGTCGGCCCGCCGGGGCCCATTTGCCCGCCCGGTGTATTCATGCCCATTTGTCCGGGTGGACCGCCCATACCCATCTGTGTGGGTCCGTTCGGGCCCATTTGCGACGGCCCGTTATGACCCATCTGTCCGGGTCCGTTCGGTCCCATTTGTCCTGTCGGTCCGACGGGGCCCATCGGCCCGCTGGGTCCCATCTGTCCTTGATTGTTCGGCATCATCTGATTCGGACCGCCAGGGCCCATTTGATTCGGACCTCCAGGGCCCATATTGTGTCCTGCAGGGCCGCTCGCAGGCATTTGGCCCGGCCCACCGGGACCCATGTGACTTCCCGGACCGCTCGCATTCATATGTGTGGATCCCGGTGGACCACTCGCATTCATGTGACTTGGAATAGGCTGACCGGGATTCATATGACCACCCGGTCCAGGCGGACCGCTGGTATTCATGTGTCCCGGTCCAGGGGGACCGCTCGCGTTCATGTGTCCAGCTCCTGGGGGTCCGCTGGCTGTCATGTGACCCGTCGGTCCCGCGCCACCCATGTGTCCAGGTCCGGGCGGACCACCGGAACTTATATGGCCCGGCCCCGGCGGCCCGCTCGCATTCATATGACTCGGAGGTCCACCCATATGTCCAGGTCCTCCGGGCACCATCTGCGAGCTTTGGGGACCACCGCCGCCCATCTGAGGACCTGGTCCGCTACCCGGGCCCATTTGTCCCGGCCCACCTTGTCCCATGTGAGGTCCGCCAGGAGGACCTCCACCCTGCACCATATGGGTTGGACCCATTTGTCCGGGTCCTCCCGGACCCATCTGTCCAGGTCCGTTGGAACCCATTTGAGCGGGGCCAGTTTGCATCATGTGCGTTGAAGTTTGTGGTCCATTCGGACCCATTTGACCGGGACCCATTGGTCCCCCAGAAGTCTGCTGGGAAGTAGGTACTTGTCCGACTGGACCACCTGGTCCTTGATTCTGGAAAAAAAATTCAATATTGCAATGCTTAAATGCGTAAAAAAATATTTCTAAAAATTGAATGTAAATTTTTAACAATTAACCTACAATTTTTTAGCTTGGCGTTTGAAATTAAATTATTATTTTTAAAAGTATTTTCATAAAGTAAACCTTACTGATAAAAAAAGTTAATGAACAATTACAAAGTATGATAAGTCAATATTGCGCGCATCGTGCTCGATATATGCTATTATGACTTAATACAGGTTGAAATATCTGTTTTTATTTCGGTTATTAAGAACAGATTATACTTTTGACGCCAGCAACAAGCTTGACTCATCACGCTTGATAAATTATGAATTAAACAAGCATTACTGCGGCCTTTTTTATTTCGCCAAAACACGTGGAATCTCTTATGTAATCTTGCAGCCATTGATAGTAATTTATCTTCCTTATTTTGAATTTACCGAGATTAGCGCATTCACGTCACAGAATATTGTATCAAAGAAGCATGTTTATTTTTTACATAAACGTCGTCGAAATTTGATGTGGGTTTACATTTGATGTAATACAAGCGCTATAAATTAGATCGGATCTTCAAACAAGTAATTCGTGGGAATATCACGTTCTAAAAATACAACGATGAAATCGTGCAATTTTGCTGGGAATATCCCGGCTTAAAACCACGAAGAGCTGTCATATCCTGTGATACTGTGATAACAGTCACAGATAATAACGACTCTTATGAGGCAATTTTGCCGCGCTAAAAAAAAAATACACCGAATATACGCAACACGGAAAATCTGGCGCAAAATGCATGTGATCGTAAAAGAATTCTGATGCAAAAGTTGATGTATCACGTGCAAGAAAGGCATGCCTTTTTTTATTGCGGGCATATTTACTCGCGCGCAATCAAGCTCCCACGTTTCATTCACGCCGCTGACCAGGCGGTGTCACGTTTTTAAGGCATGCTACCGGTGCCAAGCCAGGGATATCATGGGATAATGCAGACGATTGACAGACAGAATGCTTGATACTAATACTTTATCTGCTGCAATTTGTGCAACAAGCTCAGAGGAGGATTTTGATAAAAATATCCAGAAATTTTCTGTGAACTTTCGATTGTTTCTGTTTTCAAGAGATAAGGCTTTTTTCTCAGAAATTTTGTTACAATTTTCTTGCGTTTAATATTTTTTTACCATTATTCTTTGTATCGACAATAAAAATGTGTCCAATTTTGATTGTGCAATATTTGACAAAAATACATTTACATCTAATATAAAATTATTTAATTACTCTCAAAGTTCTCAATTTATGAAAAATGTCTTAATGCTTCTCTAATTCTAATCTTATAAAACATTTCCAACAAAGAGAATTTTCTCGTCATCAATTTTTGAATCATCACAACAAAATTTAATCAAAGCATATATGCTCTGCTGCGACCTTCTTCGCTGCATTATGTTCGAGTGGTGTGATGTAATAGCTATAAAAAATATTGTCTATCTATTCCTCTGATTTTTGCGATACGGCAAATTAGCATTCGAATCCAGTGTAGCGTGAATTTAGAAAAAGAATAATCGATGCAGCGAAGTAAATGAATATTGTAGAGCGTCACTACTTTTCGCGATTGAGGCTGGCGGGGCTGCAGAAATCACTAAGTTAAATCGTGCCTATTGGAGCGTAAGTTGACGCATGACGACGTCAGTCTGAACTTTTCCGTGGATATATTTAATATGACAATGAAGACTAACTCTCTACCAATGATATATTGCGAAGGGCATGGAAAAGAACCCGAGAGAATTGAATATTCCTATTAAGCTGAGTGGACGCAAGCTCATAGTGGGGATGACAACCGCGGCATAAGAACGACGCTTTCGCGATACAGGTCGGTACTTTAACTGGAGCAAGCTTTCGCGAAACGCTATTTGTAAAGGATACTTTGAGTTCAAGTTGACAGAAAATTGCGAAAATGATCACCCAAAAGGAACTCGATTATTGCTACGACTTCGTCCTGAATCTCACTATACTGTCCGGAAAGGTAAGATTTAAGTACAGATTGTCATAATATTTAGTTATTTGTAAAAATCAGAATAACAATACTGTAAGAATTTGGTTTTTCTAAAAAAGCAGCGTGTAATGATTAATTAAAATTCTATTTCAGGGTTTAATTGTGTTTAGTGCAATTATATATATATAAATTATATCAATCATGAAACCTGGAAACATTCACTTCAACTTTTCGCTAATTAAACAATGTATTAGAAATCACGATAACGTTATCAGTTTTTATTTCCGAATTTTTCGGTGCCAGATAAATTATATTGATAAAAAGTTATTCTGAGAGGAAAAATCAATGCCACATTTACCTTGTTCTTGCAGAAATAATGTTAAGAAAATAATCGTGTGCAACATTACTTTCAGGTGATCCGCGATGCTTTTCAAGGATCAAAGAAAATCGAAACAAAGGCTGGTGATTGGGATTTGGTGACGCAGTACGATAGAAAAATCGAGGCGATTTTAATTGACAACCTGGCAAAGAGATTTCCAACACACAAGTGAGTCATCATTATTTAAAAAAAAAAAGTGGATTTGTTGTGTAAGAAGTTATTACACTTTAATTGCATTCTTCAATTTAAATCATTCATGTTTATATTGACAGTTTTGATAAAATTTTTCAGATTTATCGGCGAAGAAACAGTGTCGTGTTCGAATTTTCTACCAGAACTCACGGACGCGCCAACGTGGATCATCGATCCGATCGATGGCACAACAAACTTCGTGCATTCTTTTCCACACACTTGCATATCGATTGCGCTAGCTGTGGACAAAGAACTCGAGATTGGAATAGTTTACAATCCCATTTTGGAGCAGTTATTCACAGCCAGAAGAGGTCACGGAGCATTTCTCAATGAAAAACCGATTAAGAGCTCGAACGTGGAAGGTGAGCAATTCTTTTTTTCGTTCTTAATCATTTCCGCTCTTTCCTCCTTTGTTTCGCAGTTTCTCACAATTAAGATAATAACGTCGTTATCATCGATCAAGCAATAAACACGTACATTTTTACACGTCACATTATATATATATAAAATAACACGATGCACGTTTCCAATAGTTTTGCAATAATCTGTGCAAAATTTTGAACAATCCTATTTTTCGCAGGACTCCAAAATTCTTTGCTATGCTTGGAGGCTTCGTACGCGACGATGGAAAATATTCGCGACATCATCCTGGGAAGGCTGGAAGCTTTCGTCACGGTGGCGCACGGAATAAGGACTATGGGTTCAGCGGCGTTGACTCTGTGTCACGTGGCCATGGGAGCTGCGGAAGGCTATCACTCCGACAACCTGATGCCTTGGGACGTGGCCGCGGGTGTTCTTATCATTCGGGAAGCCGGCGGCGTGGTGATCGACACAAACGGTATAATATGCGATCAATCGCAAAGACTAAGTTAATTCACAAGTCATTCGCATCGCTCTTTGTTTCGATCAGGCGGAGAGTTCGACGTTATGTCACCGAAACTGCTGGCCGTCGGTAATCGCAAACTGGCGAAGGACCTCGTGAAATTGATCAAACGCGCGGATGTGAAAACCCAGCAAAGAAGGCTACTGCTGCAGACCGCGAATTAAGCGTTTCCTGCGAGGTGTCAAGATTTGCCAACTATTTGCAGGATTTCTAATGTTAATTAAAATAATTAAAATAATTGCATGCATGTTTGTGATCGAAGTGTAATGTTCTCGGTCGTGTCATGACGCACTGAAAATCGCGATAAGTGCAATGAATAACAAATCAGTGTGCCGAACAAGCAAAGGTCATGCATGGGATTAATAACGCTAATTGTAAAAGCGCACGCAAGGCCGGGCTCATAGGAGCACACCTTGCAGTTTGAGAGCAGCAGCGGACCTGGTTGAACCGGTAGTCCAGCGATATCATGTCGAAAGTGCATTAAGAAATAACGCTCGCGTACAATTGCCGGAGGCGCGCTGGTGAGATTATTTATATTTCCTACAAATTTCTCATATCCTACAAATAATGGTATATTTCCGGCTTCAAAATTTATATAACACGTTGCGGCGCACGATGTAACAATTAAAATGTACAAAAACATGTTTAACGTAATAATGTTAGCGCGATAAATAATACTTGAATAAAGTAGCGATAAGAGAAATAATATTACTTGAAAGCGTAGTATTAATCGGTATTGCAGCGCGTTGTAAAATCAAACAAAATGTAATATACGATTGAATGTAGTGTCAAGAAAAAAAGAAAAACTAAGAACACGTCGAAGATCACATTTCTTCTCGTAACCCAACAAACTTCAAAAGTTTCCGAAAAACCTGTAAAAACGTCAAAAAACGTTACACGACGGATAAACGTTCTCCCAAATGTTGAGGTTCTTTCACCCGCGCTACCTGCGCAATAACGTGTTACTGGTTTCAGAGATAAGAGGAGGTAATCACGCGGTTTGCACGGCGAATCAATCATTCGTACCGACGAGACCTTCAACATCGGCTGTCATGTCGAGCGACCTGGACATTACAAAATGCTTCGAATTCGCGAAAGAGCTAACACTGCAAGCTGGAAAGGTGAGTCACGATGCAATAAAATCACTCGTGTGTCTCGCGAGCAAAACCCGTTATTGCATAATTTCTGACGAAGATAAAAGCGAACGATAAACTTGTGCTGTGAGAAGTTTCGAAAACAAAAAAAAACTCTGATACGCTTAAGTGATAATTTCTACGCGATATGTGTGCGTAGTAAACTGTCGTGTCGTGTCGTTAACACTAGACATTCGTAACGTTAATAGCAGCCTCGTGTTTTCGAGCAAAATATTTGTAGTTCCGCGCGAATCTTCGAAAGGTGACATTGTAAAATATCACGAGCTAAAATCTCGCTTTCTTATCACGTGAATTTGAAGAGAGATAACATACCAGTCTTAATCTTCTGGAATCAAAATAATATATTGTTTTCTCGGTGTTTATAATTTATATTTATATTTTAATATAATATAATATTTATAATATAATATTTTTATATTCTCGGTGTTTAATTTATATTATATTTATATTCATACACAGCTACTCAAATGCGGCTTCGAGGCCGAGAAAATCGTAGAAAGGAAAGAAGCGGAGTGGGATTTCGTGACCGATTTCGATCAGAGGATTGAGAAAATGTTCATCGATGGTCTATCCGAGGAATTTCCCGATCACATGTGAGTTGCCATAATTATACAAACGTACAAATCGTTAATTAAAATCAGGTTCAATCTAGCACAACAATTGACGTATTAAAAATCAGTGTTGCGCTTTCAAGATTTCGCGCCAAGATAATTGTCGTTTCAGAATCGTCGCGGAGGAAGCGGCAGGCGCCACGGGAAAAGTGCCAGAGTTGACTGACGCGCCGACATGGCTCATCGATCCGATCGACGGGACGCTCAATTTCGTGCACACGTTCCCCCACGCTTGCATATCCGTGGGCCTGACGGTCCGCAAGGAGCCCGTCCTGGGCATCGTCTACAATCCCATGAATTCGGAACTGTACACCGCGATAAAAGGCGAGGGCGCGTTCCTGAACGGGAAACCGATTTGCACCTCCAAAGTCACAGGTGACGCACGCGTTTGCCAACACGCGCGGATGCCGTCGGCGTTTGCGGTTTCTAAAAATACCAATGGCGATTCCCGCATCAATTAGCGGAAAGCGCAACACCGCGTCACATGCATTTTTTTACTCGTGAAACATTTTTTTCACAGTTTAAACAACGTTCACCGCTCGCGTGGTATATTTTTATCGCACTTTTTTTCTCCCTTTGTTGAAACTAGTTCTACAACGTGCTCGCTGATGATTAAAGAAATTATAGGTCTCTCGATTGTGCTGTACATTAATCATATCGACGATTACTCATCATTCGCTAGGCCGTGCTTCTCGCTAGATGAGAAGCACCACAATAATTTTGCGAAAGAAAACATCTGGAATTTCTGTATCGCTCTCATTGCTTCGAACCTTTGCAGAACTGAAAAATGCAGTGCAAGCGTTCGAGATGACTGGTTCAAAACACAAGGATATCTATATGGGTAGATTGGAGGCCTTGCTCGGCGCCACGCAAGCGTAAATACAAAATAAACGTACATTTTACAATTGTTTTGAACAGATTCTCACGCGTTTTTTTTTTAATTTAGAACCAGGAGCGTAGGATCAGCCGCGCTGGATATGGCGTACGTAGCACGAGGTGCGGTAGATTGTTTTCACATGGACGGTCTCAAAGTCTGGGACGTCGCGGCAGGGACACTAATTGTACGCGAAGCGGGTGGAACCGTCATAGACACGAAAGGTAAGATTTAATATACAAATATTCCACGATAATTGCGCTAACTTTTTTCAAGAATAAAAACTGCGAGAAATCTATCAGTTTTAGCGTTTTCCTAAAATATTTAAATCCAGTTTATCATCTAAAAAAACAAATAACATCAATGAAAAGGTTTAAAACTGTAAAAGCCATCCTACGCATTAAAGTACTTTTATTGCGATAAATAAGAAAACAGAGATGAAACTTTAGATTTAATTCAGAATTAGAATTGTGATTCTTTACAGAGAATTTACAGAGAATTTATAAAATTTTCAAAGAAAGTAGATTCGAGGATTAATGTGATCCGATTAGAAATTAATTGTTATAATCATTTTCAGGTGGCGTTTATAATATTATGAAGCCGAATACTGTCGCGGCGGCAAACGAGACTCTCGCGCGAGAAATGTCGAAATTAATCGTCGACACCGACTTGAAGACACAAAGAAGAAGGCTTAAGAGGACGTGACGCAAAACGAAAAGTTATTTGCATTAAATGATTCAAAAGCAGGAATGTAAAGTAGGAGGCGTGTCCCGGCTGGAAGAACGTGTCTGGCCTATCACGTAACACACCAGGAAATTGCTTTATAAACACTGATCTGACGAAGTTTACGTCAAAGTTTACGTCTCAAAGTTCCCCATTGACGCATTTGCAGGTGTCGTGCGAAATCAATCCGATTACGTTGACTAGTGCGCAATGTCGCAAAGTGTATTAATGGTCTTTCCAGTTGTTCCTCCATAAATACAATAAAATTATCCCAGGGTCGTTAAACGGCGGACACGCTATAAATCCTAGCGATTATACTTCTATTGTTACATTTCAATTAAATCTAAATTTGTGTGTGTGTGTGTGTGTGTGTGTGTGTGTGTGTGTGTGTGTGTGTGGTG